GCCGTAACGGCCGCCGCGGACGTGCCGGGTAAGCTGCGCTCAGGCCAGGGATGGCCGCTCAAACCAGGCTTTTATTTATTTATTTGTTAAATCTTGGCACAACAGCAGCTTTCTCACAGCGTTCACTGAGAGAATTCCTCGGCCAAATTATATCCAGGCTCTTGGATAGAGCTGAAGCCTGCTGATTTAAAAATGTCCAAATATAGATGTTTTTTTCACATATTTCTTGGTAGCTATTGGATATTGAATCAGCAGCAGGGCGTATAGAGACTGGCGTGTGTTTCACCACGTGGATTGAACGCTGCTTCTTGTTCTGCATTACCTTCCCCATATCCTTTGACGATATCATTACTAGTATTTCTTTTATTATCGATGTATTTCGAAAAAAACACGTTATTATTTTTCAGTTGTTCTGAAAACGAGGTGGAAAGTGGTGATACCGGTGCGCCTGGTTGGAGCAAAAGAGAAAATCTCACATAAATGCATCAAAAGCCTTGTACTCTGGCTAGATCACTGACCCTACAAGTGCACGCTTCTTTTTTTTGTATTGAGTGGTGTCTGGAGACAGAACCCTCTTTAGCCCATCCGACCTCACCCTGCTCTGGGGATGTTGCTAGTTGAGGGATTCTCACTTCAACGTGCCTCATAGGTAAAGAAACAGAGCGCTTGGCAATGCCAGGAACGTTTTATGGGAAACCTGGAGACGGGAAAAGCAGTCAGCGACTCCAGGAGAGAGCTGTGCCTTGGCTTGCTGACTGTGTCTCTAAGGAGATTTCAGATTAATTAACCAAGGCAATCAGGGCTGCCTATTCTTATTGATGTTATCTTAGCCCCTAGAAGTGCTTGTCACAGACTAAAAGCCCATTGGGCTAGCAGTTGTACAATTCCGCATCCTAGCTGATGTCTGACATAGAGAGCTTGCCGTCTGGGTGTAAAACAAGAGATGTACACAGACACATAATGGAAAGTAAGGCAAAAGAAGAACTGATCACCTTCATGAGCATTGGCCTTTCATGCGCCAGCGTTTTTGTCACGCACCCAAAAGGATTTTTTCCAAAGCACCATAATCGATGAAAGTTTTATTTTTAACTATTTTATGCCAGAATCAGGGAGTAAAATCCCAGCCCTGACTGCTGGCATAGAGTATTGACACAAAACCTTTCATAGTCCTCCCAGAATTCTAGATTTGACACAAAAACTGAGTCTCGGGCTTTGGTCCAAACTCTCATAGCTAGAGCCTTAATTGCAAACATTACCCACAGAGATCTAATTTGAGCATGAACTAGGAATCTCTGCTCTGTGGGAAGGTTAGCTTGCCTGGCCCAGGTACAGCATTCTGTTCCCTTATGAAGTTGAATGAAACTAATGAAACCATGAAGCTCCATCTGTGATCTTCCTATGCATTAACTCTCAGCCCGGCATAAATGGGGTCTTATAACTCTCTTGCTGAAATACACAAACAATAAACCCAAACATTCTCTTGTCACAGCTCTGTGCTGCCAAATTTCCTCAGCTATTTCCAATACTCAAAGGAAAACTGGCTAATCATTTCTGAAACAAACTTTAATTGCTATTGCCTTTTCCCTTGCAAGTATGCACAGAGTTCCCTTATAGATAATCATCAGATTTGATTAATGAACTCCATCTGGGGACACTGGGGCTTTGTTACCCTGGATTAAGACTTGAAGATCTATGCTTACAAGTGCTTGCCAAAAGATGCTTGTGATTAATTGGCTATTTCCATTTTACAGAATGCCAGTCTCTGGGTATAAACAATAAATGTGTGAAATCTCCATGGACTCAGCTATCCAGGGTGATCAGCTGTAATCTCATCTGCAGCAAAGTGAGTCAGACCTCAGTTCCAGTAAGTTTCTCACTCATTTATGCACTCACTCTACTTATTCTTTTTTTAGTTACTTTTCTTCTCCCTCTCAAAACTCAGCCTGGATTGAATGAATATGGTCTCGGGACATAGCTATGAGGGGCCTGCCTTGTGTTTAACTTGACTCAATGCCTTTATAAGGCAGCAAGGAAAATGGCTTCCCTGTTTTGTTATAAGAAGGAATGTATTATCCAGACAGTTGCAGCTGGGACCCAGCTGCTTATGGCAGCTCTGGGCAAATGTGAATAGCTTCAGTGTAAAACCAAAAAGACCAGTTTGCCTTTCTCCCTCTTGGAGCAATTGCCCACAGGGTAAAACTTTAGATAAATGCCTGGTGGAAAGGGGAATGGACACTGTGACACCAAAGAGCTTTGTATTTATGCTAATATAAGCTTGGCAGCAAGCTGAAAGACAAAGTAAAGAGGGAACTGGCACCCAAAGCAAAGCAGGGCTTAGAAACACATCTGTTATCATCTTCCTGCATTGGGCTTCACGCAGTAGCACGAGGTATGCACAGTTGTCTTCTCCCAAGAGATCTTTCCAAACACCTGCTTGCAAGCACTAGCCAAAATTGTGTTGCAGACCAACACAAGTATTTATTATCTCTGTTTAGTGATTCCTGATGGCCCTTGCAGGAGACGCAAGTATAACACACTGTCTTCACGTAGTTGCTTCTGTTCTGTTCTGTCTTCACGTAGTTGCCTGCAGGAAAGATCTCCAACACTGATATTCTGGTTTCACTCTCTAAAGCAAAACTGGTCCTTGACTTTGAGGATCAGCTGTAACCCTGCTGCAAGTCTGCTGGGCTTGTCCTCTGGCTGGATATGACTCATGAATACTTGCTACCTCACAAAACTGTGCCTTAAAAAAAATTTTTTTTAAGTATGTGTATATGAACGTGTGTGTGTATATATATGTATTTCTTGAGATTTAACAGTTCCCATCTGTTGTTGTACCTGCCCAGTCCATTCTTGTTTCAGCTCATGCAATGAAAGCAAATTACTCTACTTGGAAACGTATGGAAACTATTGCGCTAGGAGTATTTAGCAAAGCTAAGTAGAAAGGATTATACCACACTATCCAACCTCACCTGAAAATGTAGAGGAGAAACAAAAAGAGGGATATTAAGTTAAGAGAATGTATTGATTCAGAGTGCGGCATGCCAGGTACATTGGAGGGCCTCTCACACTGTGGTGGATGGATGGATCACTGCTAATAGGCAAAGTGCTTCAAAGCAGTGCACGCAACTCCTAGCCCTGCACTGCCACAGAGGAGACAGGGAATACTTCAGAAATAGTTCCACAAATCCTTCTGCATAAAGCTGAGAGACTGAGGTCCGCCTGTTCACAGTTCCTCTTTCCTAAGACAGTGTCGCTCTTTCTTTTCCTCACTGCCCTCACCTCAGCTGCTCAATTTACAACCTCCTCTTTCTCTCTGACCAGTACCTTTCCTCTTCTCTGAGCTATTCAGTTAAACAACATCTCATAGCAAGAGAGAAAAACCTCTCTTCAGCAGAGGTCTTACTAGGTGCCATAGAAAGGGAAGGGATGAAGTCACAAGTAACTCTGCTTACAGTCCTTTTCTCTAGTACAATGTTTACCTTTTCACACCATCATGGACTCGCAGTGAGAATCATGGTCTTCTGTAATACCCAGATATTGTTCTGCAGAGTTGCTGCCTGTCCAGTAGTTCTTCTACCTGATTTCAAAGAGTTAGTTTTGCCTGATGAATAGAACTATACATTTGTCTTTAACAAATTGTGTCTTATTTTTCTTTCAGACCATTTCTGAAATTTCTCAAATTGATTTTTATTTCTAATCTTATCTGTCATTGTGCTTACCACCCTCTCAGTGTGATGATGTTTTCAGATTTGACAAGCATATCTTGTCTTCAGTCTAGTCACTAGTGACTTGTGCTCTTCTCACCTACCCCTCCAAAATATTAGTCTGTCACAGAGGAAACCAAGGTTGATTTGACACCATTTGTTCTTAAAAGAAATTCTTTACTCATGTTCTTATCTTCTGAGCACCTATAAAGGGTTTAATTTATTTGTTAAGCTGTCCTCAAGGAACTGAAAGGAGCACAAGTGGTCTATAACTCCTTCAACATCTTTGCCTTCCTCTCTCCCACCCCCTTTTAAAAGTAAATGCTGTAGCTGTGCTCTTCTGATCTCTGTAACCTCACCCATCTTTTCAAGGAAAATCATTCTTGCTGCTGAAATTGCTTTAGCCAGTTTTCTCTTTGTCTTGGCTGAAATTCCTCTTGCTGAGGTGATTTGAAAACACCCCCTTTAGTTAGTATACTCTTACTTACTCTTTTCCTGTTTTACCGTGAATTGTTGCCTTTTGCTGCTAGTGTTAACTGTGTTGCTACCTGATCACAGCTGACCTTTATAAACACATAGTCTTCTGTAGCTGTCAATTATCATTTAATTAGCTCAAATTGCTGAAGCCTGTGCTGTGGGTTCAAATG